TATAAAATTGGTATTATTTGTGATCCTTGCTTGAAGATTGAAAATTTTAAAATTCTGATTGAGTACTGTTACATTTGTTTTTTTAGAAGAAAATAATTATTACTATAACCATGTAATAGAATGGACAAAAGAAGGAGATAATGCTATTGATCTTTTTGAGGCTTTATTTAAAGAACTTCAAGGAATATGCGGTAATGCACTGGAACAAACAGCACTTCCTCCGCCTCCCAAAGCAAAAAAAGGTTTTAAAGGAATAGTCGATGGGCTTTTGGCAAAAAAGGTAAGCGTGGTCAGCCTTTGATGAGTTCAGGTAGTACAACTGTAAGCTCACACAACGAACTTGAACTTGCTATATACCAAGAGGTGCCATGCGATTACGACGACGATGATGACGTGGACTTTGACGTCCTCGCGCAGTGGAAGTGAAACGAACACATGTTCCCATGTCTTGGAATGCTAGCCAGACAAGTTTATTTGTTCTAGTAGCCGTGGAATAAGAATTCAGTTTTAGAGGCAACATTCTAGCTGACTACTGAAGTTGTTTTAGCTCTGAATCTCTTGAAACACTTGTTTGCCATCGAGATTGGCTCTTGGCAAGACATCGAGCTCAAGAGTCAGGGTACAAATTCAATTCTGAACATTACATGAATGCAACCACAAATGGAAGCCTTAGTTCTGAGAAATAAATTATACACTTTTTTATGTTAATGTAATTAGTTTTTTTAAAGTGAGCGATATATAAGCTCTTTCGAGGGTTTCTTTACGGTTATTTACCTCGTCGCTTTTTTTTGAACCGTAAGGATATTAAATGTAGTTGTTCTTGTATTAGTATGACTAGTTTTTCAATATTTAAACAACAACTACATTTTTAGATCTTTTATTTCATTATTTGATCTATTTCCTTTAATAATTACACATTTACACTTGTAAATTTTTTTTAAAAAGGGCGGTTTCCGGAACCGGCCAGTACGGGTACCAGTACCGGTACCTTTCGGTCTAGTGACGGTAACGGTACCTAGGGTGGTGGTACTAGAACCATCCTAGAACCGTATCGTGTCCATCCCTAATGTCCAGTAGTGGTGAATATTTAGTTGAATAATGACTAATGGATAATGACTAAAAGTGCTACATTAGGAAAGTAAAATATATAATGTTATTTAAGGAAAGGGAGAAAGACCAAAGTAGGACTAAAACATTGAAAATATACCAAAATAGAACTTCCATGTTTTCATTCCTGAAATAGGACTTACATTACCAAACATTGTCATGTACATTACCAAAAAAGTATAGTAATGTTCACATGTACAATGTCACATTACCATAGTGCAAAGTTTTACTTTGAGGAAAAAATCATGAAAGTCCTATTTTGGTACTTTTTCTTATATTTTAGTCATATTTAGATTGATTTTTATTAGAGAAAATTAGTATGTATTAGTGATATTTAGGTAAATTTCTAGATAATATTTCGTAATTAGTAGAGGTAAAAATATAATCTTTCCCTATCTTGTCACCTCGTTGCCCACCATATATGCCCTTGCTAACTAGGGGTGTTCAAAAATATCCGATCCGAAATATCCGTCCATGATCCGGGCCGATCCGATCCGAAAAATGGATATCCGATCCAATATTTTAGCTTTCGGATATTTCGGATCGGATATCCGAAATAAATCGGATCGGATATGGATTCAATTTCAGGAATTTTTGGATAATCGGATATCCAATTTTTTTTGCAATATGTTTTTGGAATTTTATGGATATATACTATGACTATATGTTTATATGTAATTTTATGTTGATTTTGGAACTCAACCATTTTGGACTTTTTACATTAGCATTTTAGAATCTTTTGTTTTAATAGTGTTTTTTTGTTTGTTTAGGTAAAATTACCAAAGTCCCAAATTAAATTTGGTATCATTTTTTTATTATGCCATTACCTAGTGGTGGAATTTTTCTTTTAGTAAATCTATATTGAATTTGATATTTTGGGTTGATTTTTTTTATTTTACCCTTTTTTTCTTGTAAATTTTGGTTAAAAACTCAACTTTTCGAATAATCCAGTGATCCGATCCGAAAAATTAGATATCCGAATTTCGAATATCCGAATATTTTTAGATCGGATATGGAATGAGTTTTACGTGATCCGAAATTTTTGGATATCCATATTTTCGGATCGGATCGATCCGATTAAACACCCCTAGCTAACAGAATTTGCATCTGACCCCACAATCTCCTCTAGCCCTTAATATGGATGGCTACTTGCTGTTGTACCCCACAGTTCATAGAGCCTGATCAGGAGAATCTTTCTATCTCAGATACTACAGGTACAATCTAGTTATTCGCTCTTTCTTCTGCCCAGTTGGTGTTCTACTTAATTCTATTTAAAGAATCAATTAAAACCATTTCTAGTGTTTCACGGGATGAAGAATGACAATTTTTGTTTTTTGAGACCGCACAATTTTGGTGTTACTAGAAAAATTTTCTAAACACTTTATTTTAGAATAAATTCTATAATTGGTATTTTATAACATGGGTTTTCAATATATTTAGTCTTTTATTATTAAATATTACTTTTGTAGTACTTTTTTATGGGTGCCTTTCTATAAATGTTTCTGATGGGCCGATATCCAGAGGACGGCCCAAATGAACCATTTAAACAGCTTCGGGTCAAGCACCTGTGGAATACTCAAGCTGGGCCGGCCCAAGGAGCTGGGCCTAGTTAACCTCAGGCCAAGCGCAGCTGGCAGAGTCAGTCCGGAGAAGGAGACGGAGCTGATTGGCCGTTACGGAGCCGGAAAAAGGGGATCGCGCCCTTGGCGGGCTAAACTCCATCGGTTACGCTTCACCTTAATTGTTGAGAGCTCGTGTATAAATAGAAGGGACCCGAAAGGGGAGGAAAAGGCAAAATCAAGCTAGTAATACACATCCAATTCTCGAATTCTTGTTCTTAATTTTGTTCTTGCGATCCGCTCTGTAAATCGGATCATTTGGTGGATTTATTGTCCATCAAATTGGTGCTCTCGTTGAGAGTTCGAGAATCATACTCGGAAGAAATCCTCCACAACGACGATGGTGCAAACACGTAGCAACGCCAACGTAGGTACCGGAGTTCCCCAACTGGGGGAGAACAGCGCCACTGGAGGTCGGCACCCCCCCATCACCACCGGGGAGGCTGAGGCCCTCATTCAGAGGGTTGGGATCACGACCGAACAATTCAAGGAGGTGCTGGCCGCACTTGCGCCCAACCGCGAGGT